ATACCGAGAAATCATCCATGAAGACTTCCATGATCTCTCCAACCAGTCGGTCGAAGATCGCCAGCATGCATCTCTGGAAGGTCGCCGGTGCATTACACAGCCCAAATGGAATCCTCCGGTAAGCAAAAGTGCCGAAGGGGCAAGTGAATGTGGTCTTCGCCTGATCCTCCGGTGCAATAGGAATCTGGAAGTAACCAGACATGCCATCCAGGAAGCAATAGAACTCATGGCCAGCCAACCTCTCCAGCATCTGATCAATGAAAGGTAGGGGAAATGATCTTTCCTGGTGGCGTCGTTCAGGCGCCGGTAATCGATGCAGACTCTCCAGCCGGTCACGGTCCGCATCGGGATCAACTCCTTCTTCTCATTCGGGACCACAGTCATCCCGCCTTTCTTCGGGACCACCTGAGTGGGGCTGACCCACTTGCTATCAGATATAGCAAAGATGATCCCTGCATCCATGAGCTTCACGATCTCTGCCCGGACCACTGCCTCCAAGTTAGGAGACAATCTCCTCTGTGGCTGCCTGACTGGCTTAACCTCATCCTCCATCAAATTCTGTGGAGCAGAAGGATGGGCTAATGCCTCTGATGTCGGTGATCTTCCATGCCATGGCCCGGGCATACTTCTGCAGCAGAGCCACCAGCCTGCTCTTCTGCTCGGGTGTCAGATCCGAGCTAATAATAACCGGGAGCTTATTCCCCTCCCGGAGAAATGCATACTCCAGGTGAGATGGGAGGGGTTTAAGCTCCAACTCTGGTGGCTCCTCCAATGATGTAGCGAGCCGGGGCGAGATGGGGATCGGCTTGAATGGTATCTCTCGCCCCTCGCTCGCAGCCTCGTCCAGCTCCGCAAGCTCTCCAGCTGCACATCCTGTGATGCCTGTTCCCCTAGCAAAAGACAACGCTCAAGGAAATCATCAGTACCCGCACTCGTGATGGCGAGTGCGGTCTCAAAATCAGCAACAACATCACAGTAATCTAGATCATCATGGAGCTGGGGGTGTTTCATATTATCAGAAACAGAGAAGGTGATTTGTTCACCCCCAGCTCTCAAAATCAGTTTTCCATCATTAACATCAATAAGCGCCTTGGCGGTGGCGAGAAAAGGTCTACCCAGTATCAATGGCACATCAACATCCTCATTTATGTCCAAAATCACAAAATCAACAGGATATGAAAATGGCCCTACTGCGACTATCAAGTCCTCTGCTATACCCCTAGGATGCACAATGGATCTATCAGCAAGCTGGATGCTCATCCTAGTATTACTAGGTTGGCACTGCAGTTGGCATTCGGGTCCTGCGGGTGAGGGATGGTCTGACCAGGCAAGGTACCTGGAGTCCTCTGAGCAACAGCCTGAGCAACACTCCCAAGCTGGGTCTGTATATCGCAGCACAGCCTGTGTATTCTCTGACCAGCTTCTAGCTCCAAGAATTTGCCTGAAGCTTTCTCCATGAATTGCTCAATGTTATTGAATTTATTGCACTGGAGGTGGCCAGAGAACCCACCAGATCTCTTAGTTCCGCCATCGGGTCACTCTGTACTGGGGCTGCAGCGTGCTGCCCTGCCTGCTAAAATGGTCGCACCTGTGACTGAGGTGGAACTGGCCCCTGTCTGGGCGGGTAGAGGGTTGTTGTGGCTGCTGAAATTGCCCCTGTCTGGGCTGGTATGGAGGCCTCTGAAAACCGGGTGGTCCCTGGGGAGCTGGTGGTCTGGGATTTGGCCCAGCCCAAGAAAAGTTAGGATGATGGTGCCACCCCTCGTTATAGGTGTTGCTGTAGGGGTCGAAGCGCCTGGCATTACCAATGAAGTCCACCTGCTCCTGGGGAGTAGACGATTCCCTCATCGCCTGACAGTCCTCCACGGTGTGATGAGAGCTCTCACACCACTGGCAGTGCATCACCTGCGGCTGTCCTGTACCTGCAATCAAACCAGAACAATCGATAGCTGAAACCAGCTTCGATACCACCTGCACCAAATCAGATGACTGGGTGCCCACAGCATGCACACCCCGTCCTGGTGCTCGCCTCGATCTCCTGGCAGTGCCCCAATCGTACCCGTTCTCCGCCATCTCCTCGAAGAGTTGATTCAGCTGTGGCGGGTTTTGGTCAGCATGTTCCCTCCACAAACCGAATCAATCAGCTGCTTGTCCTCCGGGAAGAGGGCGTGATAGAAGGTGCCCACCTTGAAAGCATCATTGAAACCATGATTGGGACACCTGAGAAAGAGACTGGTGTATCTCTCCCAAGCATCCCTGATGGTCTCATCCTCATCCTGAGCAAAATGTGTAATTTGCTTCTGCAGGTCAGCCGTCTTGGATGGGGATTGGTAGCGGGTGAGGAACTTGTCCGCCAGGTTGGCGAACGTGGTGATGGAGCCCGGAGGTCGAGTGTCTAGCCACTCCTTGGCTTGCCCCTCCAGAGTGAATGGGAAGTACCTCAGTTGGATGGCATCTGCTGGTACCCCATTGATCTTGATTCCATCGATGAGCTCGTGGAATCGCCTGAGATGTGATCGGGGGCACTCTCCCTCCTTACCACGGAACACCACTGAACCGCGCAGCATGGTGATTACTGAGGTGCTCACCTCAAAGTTGTTGGCTGGGACTTGAGGGTGTTGAATGGGACCTCATGTCCGCAGCTCTAGCGGTCCAGTAGGATCCCATGGTTGCTCATCTGGATTGATCACATCATGGTTCTGTGGATCAGCCATCTCTCCTTCTTCTTCTTTCCGATCTGCAGCTGTGATAGCTCCTCCTCCGCAGCCAGTCGCGCCTTTAGAACCCGCTTGAAGTTCCTGCAGGTTCGTTCAAGCTCCTGGTCTAATGGTAGTAGATCTCCCGACTGGCTACGGGTCATGCACTACCTGCACACAATCAGCAGAAGCAACCCGTGAAGGCACACAGGTGGAAGAGAAAAATGCAATAAAGAAAAAGCTAGAGTAACAAATTCTCACGTTTCCCAATAACCTAGAAGTCCCCGGCAACGGCGCCAAAAACTTGACACGCCAAAACACAACACCAAACTGCGACCAAGTGTAATCGCAGTCCGGGAATGCAGTAACAGGCAAGTTCTATTATCAACCCGGGGTCTAGATCTAGCTTACTCCGTGATTATCTATTATCTAGCAAACTAATTCGAGTGATTGTTGTTTAAAGCAAAAGCAGTAAGAAAGCAGGAAATGGTTCGGTTTTCTAAAGCAGGAAAGAGTCACTCGGGAATGAGTCCCCCTAGCCCCTTGATTAGGTTCAATTGTAATTCCCCTGGGTTGATTCACTGTTGATTAGACTGTGGAAGATCCGACAGTAGCTTGGAATCTCTTAAGCTGACCAAGCCCTCTCAGTCTAACTACCCGGCAGACGACTAGTCTTCACCGGGATAGAAAGCAGAAGCAATAAGCACAGAACTCCACTACTGGAATTGAATTCCAGTACAAAGCAGTAAACTGGCTAACTCTCGTATAGCAATCTCCTACTATGAATGAAGAGGCTCTAACAACCTAATCAGATTCTATCTATCTCAGGTTGCAGCAAAATCGAGAAAAGCTGATCAGACTTCAATCAATTCAATAAACATGCATCATTCAATTAAAATCAAACAGTAATATCATCCCAAGTCATTACAATCAAATCCCTAACACAAAGGAACTAGGGTTCTTCATACCCCAAGTGAGAGAAGGGTTCTACTCCATAGAGAGAGAAGAGAAAACAGAAATCAGAGTAGTCATACTCATAAAGATGAGGAAAATCTGCTCTGGGATGTCAATCTTCACTCCTGAGGACGCAATCTGGGCTTCAATGGTGAGAAATCCACTCCAAAATAGCTCCTAGGGTTTGTTCTTCCCTCTTTCTCTCTCTAAAACTCTGTTTTTGCTCCAGAAACTCGAATACCTCTTCCTTGGCTCGAATCTGCCTCCAAAAACCCGACTCTGGGCGAATTACGGGCTGAATTACGGCTGTAATCACGGCCTGCCTGTAACTTTCCCCAAAACGCACGTTTCAATTAAACTGAAGGAGGAGGATCTACGCCCGTAATTCCACAATTACCGCCAGTATTTAGGGATTACGGTCGTAATTCTCTGGAGGCTTGCCCGTAATTTTAGCTCGAGAAGAAATCTTGGGAAAAGGCTCGGCAATTGTTTTACGGGCATGCCTGACAAATTACGGTCGTAATTTTGCAGGGGCTGCCCGTAATTCCTTCTGTGAATCGCCATCTGACCTCCAAATGACCGAAACTTGCGCCTATGCACCTCTTTACTTGCTAGGACCTGAAATACGACAGAACAACACAACCTAGCGTAAATAGGCCAAGGAACAATCAATTCGAGCCAAAATGGACAGGAAACCAGAGTGAAAACACGTGCAAATACGATGCTATGAACTATCCGCCCCGAGACCCTCCCAACGGATTATCCGTCCCCCCAAACGCCCATCGTATAGATACACTGCTAACAGGTGGGAGAAACCCTAGCATCCGTCTCCTTATTCATTCGCCAAATCCAACCCTAATTCTCCTTCTTTCTCTCTACCTCTCTAGCGATGGGGATCATATTGCAAGAACGTCACGATTTTGCCTATTTTTTCCCCCTTCCCCTCACTAATCGACAAATCTTGACAATCTCTCTTCATCTTCAACTCTCTTTTGAGTTGTCTTCATTTCCTCCAAACAAATGGCAAGAGGAGGCTCCTTTCAACGACGTTTCGTCAATCACTTAAGCTTGGAGTTCAATCATGTTGTCAAATCATGATTCTTCGTTAAAGATAAGGAACTTTGACTCGCTAAAAT